TATATATATATATATATAATATTATTAAGATACTATAAATCTAGTCTCGTCAATCTTTAGTTGATAATTTTGTAGTTTTTAATAGTCTTACACAACGAATATGATAAAATTGGACTCCTTGCAATGTTAATGTGTTTGGAAATTAAAACCTAGAAGAAAATTAGAACTCTAATGCCTCTAGATATTAGAAATATATCTAGAATATCTTTGATATCTTTGAAAGAGAGGGTACTATACGGCATATCTTAGAAATATGTCTAGAACTCCATGGCTCTATACTATTTCTCAAATGACTTGTTGATCCATTAATTTATTGTACTTGAGTTACAAAAAACCTTGACTTGCAACCAAATTAAATATACCATACACATCAAGCTCTTAAGTCAATTCAAGTGTTTGACTAATTTTGATGTGAGATTAAACTGAGATATTATTATATGTATCCAGATGTGAATACCAAATTACCATCGCTCATCTAGTTATATAATCATATTGAACTTGATTACCATATGTTCAATCCACTTTGTTGCTAAAAAATTACGTTAGTGGTTGTGGTTGATAGGAACAACACAATACTAACGGAGTTAGATCATGTGATGCCATCATGTCACTAATACCAATCAATACCTTCAACGAGGGTATTGATTGATTTCTATAATCCAAGAACCCAGCTAGAAATCATTGGTATGAATCCTTATTTTCAATTCGATAAGCTTTGTTTGGCTTGTTTAAGGAAAAAAACTAAAATTGCTTTTGCTACAATACTTAAGACATTGGGAACTAAGTGGAGGAGAGACAGAAGCTTAATGCTCCCTTTGACTGGTAAAGGTTTAGCGGGCAAAAGTTTACCAGTCGATAGTAAGATCTTGGGATTAAATCACGTATTTAACATTTATCTTTCTCTAAAAGGAAAAGAAGCAAAAGTTTAATGCTCCCTTCGGGACTTGAACAAGTGGTTTAGGATATGATTGTACGGTGTAGTTTGCTTTATACACGTGAGAATTAAGTAAAACACATATGCTTAAGCGGAAGGCTATGCGTGTAAAGTGTTACTTGAGTTGGTTTCCTTCCATTGATCGAATGTTTGGTTTCTCATAGATTTGTATTCATTGCAACTACGATCATAATGGCGTAAGGTGTTTGGCTTTTAGTAAAGAAAAATAGTGTTAAGACCCTTTACAAGCTAAAGAGATGCGAGAGGTGTTACGAGGAAGGAGGATGACATCTGAATATGATGGACCAATTTTATAGCATCCCACTTGACCCCCCAAGTCCGAACAACGAAACCAAAGTCCTCTGACTTATCTCGGAAGATCTGCACACCACCAGCCATCCGGCTTTAACCATTCGTCACTTCAATCCCATAAAAGAATGCTTCCGCAGTGTGGAGGATGCCATACACACACATATAATGCTGCCTCTTGAGATTTCTCAAGACTAAGCGACTATCGAAAGTAACCACAAGCAAGCACTTTGTGCACATTAGGTACGTCAACCGTGTGAACGTGTATGATACGAGTGAAGGAATCTGCACCCAAGATGAATTAAGCTGCCGATCGAGACTTTTCTATGAACATTCGCCATTCCAAATCAGTCACCACGTTATGAGCCAAAGATTTAGTTCTCCTTGACTTTGACTCGCATGCTACCGTTTCCCGACGTATTATATCGAGTGGAAGCCTTCCGCCAATCTATCACACCTCTCGAGAGTTTACTCAATGGCTGCTGGCAGCAGCTTTGACGAATGTGGCTTCTACTAACTAGTCAAGAAATGACCATTAGTTAAATGAGCGAGACTTCTACTAACTGGTCAAGAAATGGCCATTAACTAGTCAAGACATGACCATTAGTTAAATGAGCGAATGTGACTTCTACTAACTAGTCAAGAAATGACCATTAGTTAAATGAGCGAATGTGGCTTCTACTAACTGGTCAAGAAATGGCCATTAACTAGTCAAGAAATGACCATTAGTTAATTGATTCTCTTCTTATATCTCAATCCATGATTCATTCCAGCATCATTGGCTGTGAAAAGAAAAAAAACCTATCCAAATCATTTGGATTGACCGTGATTTTAGACTTAGGTTCAATTGACGTATTAGAATTGCCCTATGACAATATCATACATATTCATGATCTTATTTTCAAAATTATCAATAGATTAAGAGAAAAATATACACAAAAGAAAAGATAGTAAGAATTACCAACTTATAAGAAAGGAAGTTCATGATATATAAAGAAGGGAGATTATTTTACAATACAATCCTAGAAGCTTATTTTACCGATAGATGACCAAATAAAACATATTGAATCATCTTGTTGTTATTTTAATTTCTTATTTATTCATTACTTTTTTTTATTTTTATGACCTATGTAAAAAATTCAAGAATTATAATGGGATCACGATAATAGTTTTATATATATATATATAAAATGTATGAGTGATGTGAGGTGATAATTTTTTCTTAAATCTAAGGATTTGAAAGTCCAAAACTATCAACTACTTCTCTCTTTTTCTCTCTGAATTCAGTTCAGTGAAGACATGTATATTTCAATAACGTAATGTCACGAATAAAGCTATAAATAGGATGTTTGATGTAATGTTCACGTATCTTTATATATTTTTTGTTTTATTTATGCTTTACACATAATATAAAAGATTTATAGTAGGTCTGACAACCCTAGTTTGGTTGGTTTTTATAGTCATTTCAAACTTGTAAATGTAGGTTACGTGCAGTTATCATATAGAGGCAAAACAATCCAGAAACAAACCATCCAAGTAGTAATTTTTGGGAGTTTTCTAGTTCTACAGTGTAGTGCAGAGTGTTAGCCAGTACAACACCTAAGAGTTACTCAAGTGGCGTTTATTGTCTTGTTTCGCAGTAGCATCATATGAGGACTTTTAACCACGATAGATCACCTTGGACCCTTTGTCACTGGACCGTTCAGAGCGTGTGAAATTTATGTTTATAATTTATATTATCTATCAAATATTTATTGAAATGACTACTTATAGATCCTGAATTAAACGTTTTTTCTAATATGTCTTCTTTTTTGTAAATCCTTAAAGGACCATAAGAGATTTCAAGGAGACTCATCCTTTGTATATAGACATGTAAGGGTACCACACAAATTAAGCAAAATCAACTAAGTCCATAACATATGGTATTAAAGTGGGACAAACACACTTAAAAACACTTGGTATGCAAATATGAGGGACTTAGTGGGACTATGGTGAGGGCAACTAGCACGCCGGACCGTTTGAGGGAAACAAGCATTAAGATTTAGGGAAAGGAGTTATGTTTAGCATGTGGCTAGGTCTTGAGGGGTGTAGCAAGGGTTGTATTGGCGAAGAGTTATAATCTCGCAAGTGTATTCATGGGAGTCGAATACTACACAACTTGTTCAGTATGGTGGAGTAGTCCAAGGGGATGGTGGTCTCCGAAACATCTAGAGAGAAGGATCCATAAAGAAAAGTTACTCCAATGAGATAAATATCTAGAAGGGATAAGAATCGATTCTCTAGAGTAAGAATCATGTGTCACGGATTGTACATGTTAAGAAAGGGTACCTCAAGATAACAACTTCATAAAACTCAATGGACCAAGCAAGCGGTAATAAGTCATTATATGATCTCAAATAAGGTAATATATTGGTAGATGCATTGCGAGATCAAGTGGGAGATCAATCCAAAATGATACCAAACTATGGCACACCTAGGGTCAATGTGGAAATCAAACTCAATAGAGGACTAACCCATGGAATAATGGGCGCGAGGGCTACCATCAATTCAATACAAACCGAAAACCGAAGCAACTTGGGTGAAACTTGGTGAAGTACCCAAGCCACATGCAGAGAGTCGATATAGAAAACAGAATATGGAATGGGGCACGAAACTTTTCTTGAATAAAGGTCAAGGACATAAATTCTTATAGAGGCAAGAATAGAATCATGTCATTCTATGGGTTCCTCACTTTGAAAAAGCGGACTCATCTTGCATAGTGCCAAAGATGAAGAGAGTTTTGAAGTACATGCATCTTATCCTGGAAAAGCATTTAATAGAGGAACTAAGGTGAATCAACTAGCAAAGATGAAGTTAGGGTTATAAGGCCTTGATACGAGACAATAGGATGTCGAGATAGGTACTCTTGAAGAATATGTAATAGTGCTATCACTCGAAGTGCTATGAAAGAACAATGCACCACAGAGATTGTGTTAGCGGGCAAAGGCTTAGGATTCAAACAATGATGCACTAATTTTAGCGAAGATAGTAAACTTCAAGAGCTGCTAAGTGATATATTGTCCTAGAGCTATACTTCAACTGGGTGTGACCCGAGAATGGGTTGATGAAGGTTGATTGACAAAGGAGAGAATACAATAGGAGGTGGTGGAAGCCCTATGATGTATTGGCAAAGGCCACATATGAGAGATCATGGTTTGAGTTCATTTCACAAAGATTAAAATACAATAGAAATGTCATTAGGAGGCAACATGGTGCAGCATATCATAATGGATGAGTTCGAAGTAATGCGACACATGCGGAAAAGTCCTATGAGGGATTTGATCATACAGAGGTACGATAAGGAGCTATTAGAAGCTCTAATTTGGTGAACAACATGATGGCAAAATGGGCTATGGATTCAAAAATGAATGTCATGGTATATTATAAAGGCGAGTACTCCGTGCATGTATTAAATTTTGCATCAAATGAAAGTCTTGGTCATTAGCATATGGGAGCTGTGTATCATCGAAGAGGAATTTCAAGTACTAGTGAGTCCCATGGGTGGGACTTGATTATATAGAGGTATGATTAGAGCGTTTAGAGAGTTAGACTACTTTAGAGTTCATATTCACTTGGGAGCTTGACAAGTTATAGGATAAGGTAACATAAACGAATGTTGCTACCAAGGAAGCTAAGGAGAACAGAATTGATGCAAACCCTATAATATGATGGCGAAGATTATGCATAAGAGTTATAATTTATCTTTCTATTGATCAAGGGTACTCAGAGAACACAGAGGTGTTGAAGCATATTGTCAAAATGGGTGAAGAAGCGATGATGAGTCTAAAGGAACTTGGCTATCCAAAATCAAGCATTGATTATAATGAAATTGGACTCAGAGGAGTGCCACAGTACCATAGAGGTGGATCTATCGATAATAAAGAAAGGGATATAGATGCGAGGCAACGAATACTAGGGCCATGGGCATGGCATGATAGTGTCATGGTACTATAGAGGTGGAACTTCGTGGAGTCATTGATTCCTTGCTCTTACGGAGAGAGTATTTGGTCATAAAAATGGTTGAGGAGGTGAAGAATACATAGACAAACTCTAATAATCAAGATAAGATTGAAAGATAGAGGTTAAAAAACTTTATAAAACTGGTGTCTAAGGACTTCTCATTAAATAATAAAAAAGTAGACGGCTTGCAGTTGATATAATGCTGTTATTATTACATTCTGAGGTCACAAGCTTCTTTCAAGTAATGCTGTATGTATTCATCATGCATAAAGAAGGAAGAAGTATCGTTGATAACCTTTGGCTTCATGAATACCATCACGTATGCATTCCTTCTAATCACTTCAACTACTTTTATCTTCCGTAGTGCTGTTATTTTATATGGTAGTTTTGTTAGATAATTTTTATTATTTTTAGTAATCTTTCATGTTTAATCTAGTTAATGTGATTAGATATTATTATTAGTTTATGTGACTCTATCAAATTAATATATTTTATAGATATAATTAGATTTTGATTTTGATTATTAGAATCAAAGTTTAATTTATTGAATCTTAGATTTTGATGATAAAATCAATTGATGAGTTTGTGATCTAATCTATATTTTGAGTGATGCAAGACTAGCTTCGATCAAAGAGAAGCAAATTGATTGAATTAAGAGGAATCAGGCGTTGAGCCGAAGTTGAACATATCATAAGATTAGTTGACGTGTCGGTAGAAGAATTTCGTGCAATGAGTTTAGGCATCGGGCTGAAAGAATCAGATTTTTCACTAAGGAGAACAGATATTGCGGAAAGTTAATATGTTGATTGGGCAATACGCCGAAGGATTGAACGAAGCATTAGAAGAACCAATGGCATGCTAGATAATATATGATTCATGCTTTATAATAATTTGTCTAGATTGAAGTAGTTTAGAGTTCTAATTGAGTTGGTTTTGAATATAATTAGACCAACTCAATTATGGGTCCATTGAGCCTAAGTTAAAGCTATTTTAGGTAAAGAGAAAGGTTGATTTAGTGACCCAAAAGTTGGGTTAAGCACTGGAACTACTTGTGACCTGGAAAAAGTCAAAACCTAGTCTTCGAGACTATCAGATGGTGGTACTACCAGATTGGGCAGTAGTACCACCCAATATTAGCGGTGGAACCACTAGTACCCGAAGACTCGAGATGAAACTCTTTTTGCTCCAAATTTAAATCTATTTGGGGCCTATAAATACCTACTCATCCTTGCTCGGTTAACACAAGAACTGAGAACAAAAAAAGAGGGAAAACACAATTGTAATCTTGTGAGAATTCCCTTCCTCTAGCTCTAAGTGTAAATTTTGTTTAAGAGAGGGGTGAGTGGCTTGTAAAGGTTATCTCTTAAACCTATGAAAAGGAGAAAAGGGTTGTAAGAGGGTAATTGATCTTCCCCATTGAAAAAAGATCGATAGTAGAAGCTAGTGGCCTCGACGGGGAGAAATCAGGAGTGGACATAGGTCACGATGATCAAACCACTATAAAACTAGTGTACTCCCTTTCTTTGCTATTTACTTTTACTACAAACTGCTTTACTTGATCATCACTCTCTTACGAACATTTTTAAATTTAAACATCTTTCCGATACGAGCTTCATTGAAATAGTTTTATCGAACGAAAGTTTTAAATCTACAAAAGTTTTCCGATAGCACTAATTCACCTCCTCTCTTAGTGTCGATTTCAGTCCTAACATAATTATGATATAATTTCTTTGTATATGATCTTATTGGGAGTGACTCCTAATTACTTATTTTAGACTATCAACTCTCATCTATAAAAGGATAAGACCTTCTAAAAACTCAAAGAAAAAAATTAGATACGTGAATACGTGAATAAGTAAAGATATTATCTATAAATATTATTTCATTTTATATAAGTAAAAATTAATTGGACATCAAAATACATATAGGAAAAGGTGCATGTATAATAGTAACATTTATTGTCCACTTGACATTGTAATTAGCAAAATAAATCAATAGAGGAGGATTCAATAAACTAATCTACACCACAAATACGTTATAAAACATTTCATCAAACAAAGATGTCTACCTGACTTTGACTTTTATTGTAGTGACACTGCAAATGCTTCGAACAGGGAAGACTTCGTACTGACAATAACTAGTCTTGAGATATATATATATACATATATATATATATGTATATATATATATGTACATATATATATATATATATATGTGTATATATATATATGTGTATATATATATATATATATGTATATATATATATATATGTATATATATATATAATTATATTTTATATCCCAATTAATATTTCAAGAGTTCTCAAGGAAGATTCGTCACTTTCATTTCAACTCATTCATCATTTCAAACTCAATTTATAGCCATACCATAAATGTTGGAGTGTTGGAACCTCATCGATCCTTGAGATTGATTGATCAGTTATAATATATATATTCATTTGGATTGATAGTGAATTCAGGTTGAGATTTAATTGACATATTCAAATTACTACATGACAGTCTCCTACATATTTATATTTATGATCTTATTTTCAAGATTATCAATAAATAAGAAGAAAAACATAAATAAAGGAAAAGGTAATAAGTCAAAATATTTCATCTATATTTCAACAAAGTAAGTCAAAATAATATTTCAAAATCCTTCTCATTAAATTAATATTTTGACAAATCATATTTTTCTTATTTTCTTTCTCTATTTTATTTTTTTATTTATTATCTATCATCACCCAATTCCCTTATATATTAAGCATTTCTTTAGGATTGCCTATGTCACATGATATGAAAAAATTAATCAATAAATTATGGAAATACGAGAAGTCTATAAATTGATGAGTCATAGCATCCTATCAAAATATTATCTATACATATATAATAAAAATAAAAATAGATATACTTGTTAGTTCTGCATTAAAAAAGATAAAGAAAAATAAAAAGAAGGAAAGAGAGAGAAAGGTGCGCATGCTACACAGTGACCTCTCTCTCTCTCTTTTCCCTTGACGAGTGAGTTAAAATGAGACATCAAGAAACGATCTAAGGGCGAAATCAATTTCCAAGACTTTAGACTAGATTGTTTCATTTCATCCCCTTATTAAACCACTCAACAGGTTACAAGACTTTTCAATACGACATGTCAAGTGGGGTATGAAAACCCAATTGCCATGCCAAGATGAATGTTTTTCTAATATTGAGTGTGTCACTTTTGGCCATATCTCTTAGTTCCTAGGTTGTAATACTTACAGTGGTGTAATCGAGCAAAAGTAATCCCGGCTAATTGGTCATCTAATTGAGAGACAATTGGTTGAGGATGTATTTTTTATTTTTTTAACGGATGAAAATTTGGATCCTTCTCAACTTAATGTTGGAATCATCTGTGGATTCCTTTTCTCAAATCTCAATCACTCTTCTTACTTTAATTGATCTAAATATTATTGGAAAGTCACTCTAAAGATTGAATATTTGAGAAGAGATTTTTTTTTGAAGTGTCATTTCTATTTTCTAAAAAAAATACTTCTTTTTTATATTTATGAACATGTTTTTTCTAATTCTATGCAAGTTGTCTACTTTACAAAAAAATGAATATGAAATTACAAATAGGAAAATCCACATATAAGAAACATTGATAGTGACATATCTTGTCCACTTGATATGATAAATTAGGAAGAGGACTCGAGAAATGAATAGAAGAGGATCCAAGAAACCAATATATTTATCACCTCATTAAAACATGTCACTATTATCTCTCCACGAAGATAGATATCTGTTTTGTTTTACTTTGACTTATATATTGTAGTCACACCATAAATACTTCAAAGTGAAAAGATCTTATGCCCACAATAATTATTTTTGAGATATATCCAAATTAAGCCAATTTTAGAGTATAAAAGGACTACTATAAAATCCTGTGCCTAATAGTGGTCATTCCACAACTCATTTCTGCCTTTAGTGTTAACAATAAAAGATCTTAAATGAACTCGATAACTTGAACTCAGTTGCTTTCTTGTCATATTCTCAAATAATAAATATTCATATTTAAAACATATATAAATAATATTTTATTTTAGATATTTGTATTAAGTATTCGTTCTATCAGAATAACTTGTCGATCCAATTACTGACTGACCAGTAATGATTACATCATTGTTCGACTATAATTTACGTATTGCTTTAATATATTCTTTAATTAAAGAACATATTATGAGGTAAATTTGACATCACCAGAACAGTGATTGAATTCTGCTTTTTGCATATTGATTGATATCTCACGTTCCCAACTAAAAGGTTCATGTTAAATTAGGATTCTTAGGAATATATAAAAATCAATGAAAAGGTTGAACTATTGAGTTGTCATTCTTCCCCCTCCAACAACAGTGCTTGTTGATTATAGGAGACCTGTGATGTAATTGCTTTCTCCTTTTCCTACTATTGAAGACATCATCTTTTGCTGACTTCACTATCTGATATTAATGATCATCAATGCCTGAAAGATGACAGATTGGCACTTAAGTAAGAATGGTCTGTGAAATGCAACAACACTAAATGAATTGCGAGCACTTCAGAATTTACCTGTACATTGATTAGGTACAAATGGCTTTCGTTCATAGCTTGACGACAAGAAAAGCTCGAGGCTTTCTTGTTCTCATGAGATAAGACAATTTGTCTGACTTATATCTTTGTGTTGAGGCATCACAGTATAAGCATTTCGGAATCAGCAGTGTCTTCTCTGCTGTTCTTTCCTGCTGCTCCTCGCAGAGCAGAGGCCATGAACTAGAAAATGATCTGAACTCATCACTTCCCACTACAGAAGGTAGCAGTCACTTGTCGATTCTTAGTCTAACTCATCTTGCGATGTGTTTAATGGTATATGATGGAACAGTTAGCATCTGCACGCACATGAAGACCTCACCAACTCGTTTTTGAATTAGAATCATCAAATCGATAGAGGATTGAGAAGTGAGAAGATCAACTTACCAAGTGTTGAGTATTCAAAATGTCAATTTTCTTAGAAAATATTGGCTAATCTAACCGGTAAATATTGTCACTATTGATAACAATTATTTCTTACAAAAAAATAATTGAATGAAAAGGACTCCTTTTGACTTGTGTGTGCTAAAGGGTAGGACCAACACTTAAATTATTTTCTAAATAATTTTATTCTTTTTATATACGTAAAAATTGATTGAACATGAAAGAATATATAGGAAAAGATGTATGTATAACAGTGACATTTCTTATCCACTTGATACAGCATATTAGGAAGATAAATCAACGGTAAAAGATTCAATAAACCAATCTACATCACAAATACGTCATAAAACATAGATGTTTGCTTGACTTTGATTTTGACTTACATCATAGCCACACCACAAATACTTCGGAGTGGAAAGATCTCATATCCATAATAACTGGTCTTAAGATGTATCCACAATCACATTTCACATCACAATCACATTTGCCAGTCTCGTTCTAACCCATTCATCACGTCATGACTCTTTTCGTAGCCACACTATAATGGTTGGAGTGTGGGGAACCTCACCAGTGCTGGAGATCGATCAGTTGTAATGTTATTATATATATGTATGTATGTAAACTTCTTCCAACATCACACCTAAAACTTCCTCCTCTCTCAATGGCTGTCGGCAACGGCTGCAAGGGCGGATCTATTTACTCAAAGCATGTCACCATGCTCATGGCCATAATTATGAGCATTGGAGCCATCTCCTGCTGTCTCGGCCATGGCGGGGGCGATCATGATGGCCATCTCGGGGCGAAGGGGGGAAGCTGCATAGAGAGCGAGAGGAGAGCTCTCCAAGCCATCAGATCTGATATGTACGACTCCGGCAAAAGGTTCTCTTCTTGGATCGGTGAAGATTGCTGTCGTTGGAGAGGAGTGGCTTGTGACAACAGCACCAACCATGTCATCAAGCTCGACCTCCACTATCCTTACACTCGCCATTCCGGTTGGGATGACGAGGATGACTTTTGCTTTATGCTAGACGGGATGGGTGCGAGCAAGGTAAATCCCGCTTTACGTGATCTGAAGCATTTGAAATATCTGGATTTGAGCATCAATAATTTCTCTGGTGCCCACGTCCCCCACATGATTGCTTCGCTTGCGCACTTGGAATATCTTAACCTATCCAATGCTGGGTTTGGTGGAATAATACCTCCTCGCCTGGGGAACCTCTCCAACCTACACTACCTCGATATCAAAGGATGTAGACAAAGTGATCTACGAGCTGATGACCTTGATTAGCTCTCCCGAATTCCTTCTCTAAAACATGTTGATATGAGTTCTGTCAACCTCTCTAAAGCAACTAATTGGCTTCACCAAGTTAATTCAATCCCCAGTCCATATCTTGATATTTCTTATTGTAGTTGTATCGATATTGAGTCACTACAAGTCACTCTGGGAGCTCTGAGTAATTTGAAAGAATTGGATTTGCAATATAATGGAATCAAACGAAAAATTCTTGGAATGGTAATGAATGTGAGCAGGAGCTTAAAGCATTTGGATCTGAGTGGGAATTCATTAAGTAGAGATATTTCACAAATCTTGGAGAGTCTTGGCCCCTTGGAGTACCTTGAATTAGATGGTAATGAGCTCAATGGACATATTCCTGATAGAAAATTTCACAAGCAACTTGTGATATTTAAGTTTGGCATCCAATCACATTGTTGGAGAAATTCCATAAACTATGGAGAATCTCATCAATTTGGAATACTATACCAATGACTATTGGTAATCTCATCAACTTGGAGAGCTTGAGATTGATAGAAAATAAGATTTCAGGATAAATACCAGAAACTACTGTAAATCTCACCAATTTGAAATACTTATATCTTTCGAACAACAACATTAATGGAGGTATACCAATGGCTTTTGGTGATCTTATCAAATTGTAGATTTCAAAACAAATACCATAAACCATGGAGAATCTTCAAAATATACAAGCTCTATATTTATATGATAATTTTATTATTAGACTTTCAACAGACTTTGTAACTTGGTTGTATCATATAACCACTTGACAATGTAAGTATTTGGGACTCTACATGAACTATGCAAATTGAGAAGGATAGATTTGTCCCATAACCATATTAGTGGAGAGTTAACAAATTGAGTGGGATCTCTTCTCAAATTTAGATATATTTATTAGGGCTAACAATTTGAGTGGAATTGTCCCTTTAAATATAGGTTAATTATCTATATTACACATCTCTCCTCAAATTTGCTGGAAAGCAACATCACCAAAGCACACTTTTTCAAACTCATCAATTTATTTTATTTAGGCATATCTTACAGCTCCTTGAGTGATCCTACCCAATAATTGGCTTTCACCTTTTAATGCCCACACTATTTACACGAGCTCATGTCATTGGGAACTAAATTTCCTGCTTGGATTCAAACAAAAATAAATTTGAAATATCTTTCTTTATCTAGAGTTGGACTCTTAGGCAACCTTCCAACTTGGTTTTTGGATTTTTCAAAAGATTTATGGACTCTTAACTTAAGTTCTAATAACTTGAATGGCCCATTACTCCCTAGAAAGTAATCGATCTCTCCAATAAGTTTTGCAAATGCCTCAAGCCTTGAAATTTTGTCTTTAGCTCATAACAATATCAATGGTAGTTTTTCTTCTTTTTTCTGCAATCTTAATTATCTCCAAGTCCTCGACATATCAAATAATAATTTATTTGGGGAAATCCCAAGTGTCATAAATCATTCCCAACTTCTTTACTATCTTTGCATCTGAACCATAACAATCTATCTGGAAATTTTCCTTCCTTCTTGAAACATTGTAAACGATTGGTTACTCTCAAAATTGGTGAAAATAATTTGTATGATGAAATACCAATATGGGTGGGAGAAAACCTTTTAACCTTGAGAGTTCTTTGTTTGAAGTCGAACCTATTTTATGGTACCATTCCAGTGCACATAGCAAATCTCACTTCTCTTCAGGTTTTGGATCTTTCTTCCAACCTTCTTTCTGGTAGCATTCCTTCGTCTCTAGGAAATTGTAGTGCTATGGTTGAGATACAAAATGACACTACATCGTTGCTTGATCTTGTTAATGTTGGCGGTTACTATGGCGAGAGCATAGTATTAACGGTAAAAGGATATGACATCCAATACACCACAAGTCTCTCACTTGTAACAAGCATAGACCTATCAAACAATAATCTTTCCGGCGAGATCCCAAAAGAGCTTACGAAACTTCATGGATTGCACTTCCTCAACTTATCCAACAATCATTTGACAGGAGCTATTCCAGAAAACATTGGTTCCATGGAACAACTGGAATCACTTGACTTATCAATGAATAATCTCACAGGAGATATTCCTTCCAGCTTTTCATCTCTCAACTTCCTAAGCCACTTGAATCTCTCTCACAATAACTTGTCAGGAAGAATTCCAACAGCCGGTGGTCAAATGTCGACCTTCATTGACGACCCGTCAATCTATGATGGTAATTAATACCTTTGTGGTACGCCACTGCCAGAGTGTCCTGGTGATGCAGCTCATCAAAGTCCACCTCATGCAGCAGATGAACAGGAAGAGAAAAATGATGACAGGCTTGAAACAGTGTGGGAAATTACCAGCATCGTCATGGGTTTTGTCGTTGGTTTTTGGAGTTTTATAGGAACAATGATCATGAAACAGAGCATAAGGATTGCTTTCTTTCGATTAATCGACAAGGCTTACGATTGGTGCTACGTGCAGTTGGCAGTCGGATGTGCAAGGTTAAAGTCCAAGCAGCAAAGTGTGACTTGATCCATCGGTGGCAAGAACTGAAGAGTTTGCTGTTACATCTTAAGGAGGTCTCAAGTTGCTTTTCCAGTTAGTAATTCCAGCTCGTATGTTATGGTGTAATGTTGTCAGAACAAAGAAGGAAAGGGTATCGCAGTTGATGGCCTTTTGCTTAATTAGTATGCATTTGTTCTTATCAGTTCAAAAACTTCATCATCCGTCGTTCTAATCAATATGTTCAAGTCAGTCATCCCTACGGTTGTCTTTATGACATTATAATAAAGCAGAAAGAAGTATGCTGAAGAACTTATTATTACATCTTGAGGTCACAAGCTGCTTTCAAGTAATGCTGTGTGTAATCATCATGCAATGTGTCGAATAAAGAAGGAAGAAGTATCGTCGTTGATGACCTTTGGCTTCATCAATACCATCATGTATGCATTCCTTCTAATCTCTTCAACTACTTTATCTACCATCGTGCTGTTATCTTATATGGTAGATTTTGTTAGATAATTTGTGTTGCTTTTACTAGCCTTTTGGTTAATGTGTTTAGACGTGATTGTTAGATCATATGACTCTATTAAATTAAAATATTTTATAGATATAATTAGATTTTGATTATGAATATCAAAAAAAAAATTTGATTATAATAAAATTTCTTAGCATCTGATTTTTATTGGTAGTGACTTTTACTTATTTATTTTAGACTTTCGACTCTCATGTATAAAAGGAGGATATGATCTTTTAAGAATTCAAAGTGAATAATATATAGATATGTAAGATATTACAAATCTTCTATCATCTATCTGCAGAGTCCCATATATTGAATCCATCTGCCATTTGGATTATCTTCTTTTCCCTAGGGATCAAATTGATATATTATTAGTTGAATTTGTCCAGGCTGCCACCCTTCCTATTGCTACTGTTTCTGAAGGCAGTGAAACTTAATTTGCAGCATCAATTATTTGTTTCTTGTCCAGAAACAATCAATGTTGTCCAGAGATTGAGAAACAAGAAGTTGTCATAAATTGTTCAACGCATCAGTTGTCAAAGATTAGAGCGCACAACATCAAGAAATTGAATGTAGTCCAGCAGAAGCATTTAGTTCTCCAGCCTCCATCTAAGCAGAAGTGTGAATACACTACTGGATTCCATTGAGGTGTTGCAGTCTGCTGACATAATGGCTTACTTCAGCAGATTCCAGCTGAGAAACTTGTCAGCAACATGAACAACTTAAAAGAAACCACACCACCTCACCATGTTCAATATATTTTCTCATTGGGCAATTATCAGAATGGCCAGCCAGCAAAATCCAAAGAGAAAAAGGGAAAAGGGAGACATCAGCTACAATGATTAAGCTAGTAATATATGCATGGTGGGAATGGCAATGTAACTTTCTTGGAGTTCAATGATTAAGATGTCTATTCTCTCTTTGTACTACATGTTAATGGTTCAAACCACCTAACCATTCAAATTATTTTCCTACAGCCCTACATGTCGCTGTTCAGTTGTCACATCTCTTCAATCCCCCAAACAAAACATTGACAAGTTGCCTTAGTTTGATGAATCAAACCAGATATTCTAATGTAATTCTTGATCATCCAAATAATGTGTGTGCAGAGAGAGAGAGCACTTTGTCAAGAACATAGGCTTTTGATCTATTATAATAAGTATATTACAACAGTAGTTCTGGATGCATATGCAGGTAATATACCATATACAAACCAGAACCTGTGACCGAAGGTCTCAAGACACTCCCAACTCTTTGCCTTCGTGTCCAACAAGTTCTAAAAGCTAATATACACCAATTCATTGGCAAGCACCAACAAATACAGATCATTAGTGGATTATGATCTGTCAGTAGTGAAATATGTTTGCTAAGGCCATGATGGGCTGCTGATTCATGCACATGAGGTTCCATGGAGTGATGGAGCTGTTATTGATCTGATTGCTATCACAGAAGAGGCCATTGCTGATGGTGTTGCTTCCGTTCAAGCAGTGGAGGATCTCATTGAGAGACTGCAGCCTGCTGCTGAGCTCCATCATCTGAGTCCTCAGGACAGAGTTCTCAGTCTCCACGGCAAAAAAGTGCTTTGTGGTGAGACTCAAGGATGTCAAGATCTGGCTGTTCTCCTTCCTCAGCTGGCATATCTGTGCCGCGAGATCATCCAAACGCTTCTGCTTGCGCATCCTAGACCGCCTCGCGGACTCGCGGTTCGATTTCATTCTCTTTTGCTTCTTCTGGTCCATCACTGCCTGCAGATCCTCCTCGGAGGCTGAGTTCTGCAGCAGGCTGGACCCTGAAGAAGTGCCACCGGGAGAAGCCATGGAAACTTTCTTTTTACGGTGAAAGATTAAATCTTTTTTAGCAGTCTTTTAGATTTTAATGCCAGATTTTGGGTGGAGATATAGATAAATAGTAAAAGTATATAGCAGAATTGACACTAATAAGAAAAGTAGGAGACTGTATATGTGAAAAGATGGACAGAGTCCAAGTGCTCAGATCTCAGAACAAGCTCATGAAAACACATAAAACCAGTGAAGGAAGACGACGGAGAAGGATTGAACGAGATGGGTCCTCCGCCTGAGACTGGAATTTATCATAAACCCACAGAGAAGGATCTCACTTAGGATAGGCGACATCAATTAGAAACATCAAGAGGAACAGACACTGCATGTGAAGAAAACAGGGGAGGCACGAAAAGATCAGATCTTGGAACCGGAAGAACAGAAGAATACCCCGGCGAGATTTCAGTAGCAAGATCGAATTTTTATACCAAAGATGAAGTAAAGGCCAGATTTTGTCGAGGTTTTGGACCCCAAGAGCAGAATCATTAGAGGAAATTTTGGCAGAGTTTCTCCTGCAGGTACCAGAAGAGCGGATCCCAAGAAAAGGGAGGTCAACCAAAGTGGAGGCAAAGGAGGGACCTTTTCCACAAGGACACGAGTGACAGCAGCAAGAACACAGTCTTCAGCTGCCAGGTTTCGATTTCTAGATCGAGAACCCAAAACTCAAAAACGGGCCACTGAAGGCAGGGGAAAGCAGGGAGAAAGCAGAGTAGAGAAGAACAAAGCAGCAGAATCTGCGGAAAGCTAAGCAAGCAAGAAGAGGAGAGGGGGAAAGGGAATTGGCATTCACGGGAGGGGTGCAATTTATAGAGCAAAGCGAAGAGAGCACCAAGAAGATTCATTTGTGTGTGTGTGTGTGTGTGTGTGTGTGTGTGTGAGAGAGAGAGAGAGAGAGAGAGAGAGAGAGAGCTCTCTGGAATCTTGTGTGGGCAATTGAGAAAGGTGGATTCTCCACACCATCTCGGATTTCAAACGATTGTCGAATTGCATTTGCAGCTGCCAAGGTGAGCTGCACTAGTCAAATGGGACTCATCCTCTCATCCTCCCTTTTCCATTCTTCCAGAAATTTACCAAGAAAAAGTTCAAAGATCCGCCAAGGTGTGCTGTTAGTCCATATGAACGCATCTTTTAATAGGTTTCAGAAGCCAGATTTGGCAACTAGTGAACAGCTTTAACAAAGCTTGGACACTACCTTTTGGAGATTACTGTGATTCTGAGGCAAAGATATCTTCGATACTGTAATATTTGGCTTCAAGAGGTGGCAGTGAACTCCACAACATAGACCTCGGTAGCAGGATAATATGAGAATGATAGATTAATCTTCCAAGAAAAGAAACCATGGTATACATCGATCAACTTCAAGGAGCAGCTACAGCAAAGATGCAGTAATTAAGATCATGTGCCTGTGGCACTTTTTGGTCCATATATGATGTGTGGTCATCATTTAGTTCTCTTGTTCTTCATCCTGTAACTTCTAGGAGAAAATGATGGTGTGGAAAACAAGACAGGGATTTGATTTCCCAGAGTCAAAAGAGATTTCAGAGTGAACTTTGTCTAAATCTACCTATCTGCTTCTTCAGTGATGTCAAATGACTACCAAACATTTCTTGGATTCAAGATTGATTTGGTTCAGTGTTACTGTTTTCCAATCAATCTCAAGTCTAAAATAAATAAAAGAAAATGCAAATTCAGTGTGCAAAACTCCTTTCAAGATCTGAAAACTATTAAAATAAAGATTATTTTTCTCTTTTTGGGCATTACAATGAGAAAACAAGATTGATTTGGACATTACATTGGAAATCAAAATTGACAGAGACAACCAATTATCAGCTCTGGAAACAGAAGATTAGCTGTCCTTAATAAAACAATAATGAGTCAAATTTGTCTTAAGTTTTTTTACCCATCACATAATTATATACAGAAAGAAATACTATTGGCTTTTTGACTGAAACAAGGACTCATCTTTCCATCTATTTGGTAATTAATCTCCATTAAGACCCTTCCTCTCATACATTGCAGAATTTTAAGAGGAGCTCAGTTCTGCAACATGGAAAACAGATGAAATCACTTCGATTGGAATTAGGTTGTGTTCCATTTCAGATCATAGGATTAAATATTCTCTGTGACCACTGCATAGTGGTTGGAGTGATAGCTGAACCTTATGGAATTTAGCCAATATGAAAGTACTTGTTCTTTTGACAACTTTATACCTTTGCTACTTAGGAGACATTTCATACTTTGAAGCATTATAAGCATTAATCTTAGGCTTGCTTACAAGACTAAAACTCTTGATTGCTGAAGTTGAGCCAATGGAGGGAGTCTGTGGGGTTCAGAAGACCAATAAAAAAGATTCCTGGTTTGCATTGTGTCCAAAAGATGTGACAAAGATAACAAGAACTGAAAGTTCATCAAAATGGCTAATTTATCTCTCTTTGTAGCAATCTGGTTTCAACTATTTCCATGAGAAAATACATGCCAGTGATAAGACAAATGCTACAAATAGCACCTGCAAATGCGGATGTTTGGATGTATATTATTGATCATCAATCGATATGACAAGATTGATGAGAGTTTCAATGGATTGGATTGAAAGAAAATTTGATTAAAGGATAAAAAAATTTATATCCCATATCTTATTTCAGTTCCTAAAAAAAATCGATATGAACGATGCATTTGAAAATATCCTTCCAAAAATTAAGTTAACTTTGATTTGTTACAGGTGCATAAGATATTTGAATAGTCAATTTCAGTATAATTAGTTTGAAATGAAAATATATCAAGAAACACTTCTTAGTTCATTTTATGATATTACATAATATTAAGTATTATCATATTTAGATTTAACACATGTTAAGTTCTTAATTGACCTAAAAATAATAACCATATTAGGATAAATGGGACCTTGAGCTTAATTAGTCAAATAAGTTTAAGGTCTCAAGTTCTTAGAGAATATAAACTTATTGCTGATGTATTAAAGCAAACATTCACATTAGGATGTGAATCCCATTGTATGTAGTAAATTCAACATAGTTATCAAATTCAGTGTGGATTTCTTGACAGGATGGCTTCCTTGCTAAGCCATTCAGATAGAACTGCAATTTCTACACCATTAGTTAGAAAGTGAGCACAATAAAGAGATGTTTCTTGATCCTCTACTCAATCAGTAACTTGGACTCTTCAACCTTGATGTGATTGATCTACACCAGCTTTGTCACCCTTCTAATACAAGACTCTAGAAAAGAGTGTTCTCCATCAATATCACAACCAACATAGATATTCCAGCCTTTTATATCCTACACAACAATATTATGATGCAATTCATGCAACATCAAGATTAGTAATCCACCTGTAATTTTCCTTGAGAAAATATATAGTTTTCCATCTGATGCTATGAGACAATTACATAATTCAGTCCATATACCCTTGCATAAATTGTGATCATTTTCCAATTATATAGTAATGAGTGTTGGCTAAAAGAACTCGTAAGAAAAGCACAACCCTTGTAAGTTAAATATCTTTTTTTTTTCCCTTTTTTGAGGGGAAGAAAACTCCTTGATTGAATCCTTACAATTGATCAAATCCTGATTTTTCCAAGATAACAAGCTGTTGTTTAGCTGGATTGAATCACTCCAAAAACCTAATGTGTGTGTCACATATGCGGATCAAAATTAGGAGACCATCACCCAAAAAAAAAAAAGTTTGCGAGTTCGATTCCGTTTAACTAAACAACACTTTCTTTTCAAAAAAATTCATTAATTTTTTTTTATATACTTAAAATTTTGATCTGACGATGATATATTAAACTAATTTATCAATGATTGAAGGTTTAAAATCTCATTTATTTTAAAATATAAAATATTGATATGATAATGATGTATCAGACCCATTTACTAAAAATCAAGAGTTCAAAAATTAAAAATTCAAAATCTCATCATAAAATCTTATGAGCAAATCTTGGGTAGGATGAATTTTTGTCCCAAGTTGTCATGTGATTAATGTTCTCAGCAAAAGGACAAGGTGCCTGGAGATCCAATGGAATCTAAGCTCAGTTATCAAGGTGGAGTTCATCTTATTCAAGGAAACATCTTCACGAGGGTCTTCGACGGAGAAAAGCAAGGCTGCTGATGCTGGCTCGCCATCTTGGAAAAGAGCAAAAGCTAATGAACGGGGACCAGTCGTTTTATCTCTTATACACAATTGCTCTAAAGTTTTCGGTTGATGATAATGATGTCTTATGATCTATCTCAAGAACTTCGAACATTTTGTGGCTTTTGTTTTCTTGCAGTGTTTGAGATTTGCATGTTAATCTATCGGCCCTTCATAAATTCGAAGTCTTCCTGTCATCTAAAAGAACATAAAAATACTGTTCCTTCGAGTTCAATTGAATTGCCTTTCCCATACGCAAGATGTAATGTAAATCTTAAAGGCTCACAATAGATTTTGGTAAATGCAAGCCATCACTTGATAAAGGTCAAACGCCTCCTTTCCATGATTGACCTGTGAACTCTCTCCAGGAACCCCAGTGTAAAAGAAACATGGAAGATTGCCAAGCACTTACTCGACTGCGTGTTTTATTTGGTGATGAATCTTCTACACACCACCTGTCTGTAAGATTCACAACTTTGTACGTATTCCTGTAGCAGTTAGATTCTTACGTACAAATGCATGCATGTGCCTATGTTTTGGATAAGCCACTGTTCTACACTTCCTTTGAACAGTGACTTTTGATTCTTAAGGTATATGTAAACCTTACAAACCATTCTCGAGCTGGAACATGGTGGAAATAATAAGGGAAATTGGGTTTGTATTTAACAGATCAGAGGATCAAAACAAGAATGCAATGAAGATAGTTGGAAAGCTGTATGAATTCTAGACACTGACAGACCCAACAACACTACTTGCAGATGGAATTTGATGAACACTATTATCCACAAGTTCCATGTTCTTGAAGTAACTTTCTTAGCAGTGTCGGCTCCTTCATACTTCATATCATATAATGTGTCAATCCTCTGATGAATTTACAAAACGTGCTGATTTTTTTATGCTTTCTCTAGCACTAATTGTTGGGCCCCTTTGGTGAAATCAATAATGCTATATTGTGATCACAAGGAATGCATGAAGACAACTAAGAAAAAATAATGCAGAAAGAGTCTGTTTTATGTGGGACATCCATTTGAGGGGAATGGTATATATATATATATATATATATATATATATATATATATATATATATATATATATATATATATATATATATATTTACTAGTCTGTGAGAGACATAAGAATATTTATCCTTTTTTCAGGTCTCTGCAGGAGTGAGGGCTTCTATTTAGCAACATCAGCTTCATTT